AACAACAACAACAGGGTATTTCAGTATTTAAACACTTGAATGCTACCTGAATAGATAGCAGTTCAAGTCCACTAGCTGCTCTGAGAAGGAATAATGTAGCAAAGCCCCCGGGGAGACCATTGTCATGGACGCCTGATGGGGCGAGTCTGCCCTGGAGGTCCACTGAGTCGGCTGAGCAGGGCTTTAAGGATCTTTTTGGCATAGCAACTGCAACCAACTTTTAAAACCTAGTTAATTGCCATTTGCAACTAATGGGATTGATCATGTTTCATGTTTCAAAAGAGTATTTTCTTTTTATTTGCCTTTGATTTAAAAGACAATATTTTCTTTTTGTCTTTGATAGAAAAGACAATATTTTCTTTTTATTTGCCTTTAACTTAAAAAGAGCAAAGAGAGGGCTTTCTTTGAAATGGAATCAGATAAATGTAATGCAGTTATGTCAGTAAATCTGCCCTCACTTTCACATTGCTTCAAAGGCGGGATGTGCACGGCCCGTGACTTCCAGGGGTACCCTTGGGGCTAGGCCACCTGTCCCCAAGCTTTCAGGTCAGGGCTTCAGGTCCAGGGACCAGCTTCTGAGGAAGCCCACAAGCCCTGTGTGGCTCAAGGACGGTCCCCAGGATGAGTCACAGGCCAGTCCTGGTGCCCCTGAGATCTCAGGCAGAGGGCCCTCACGTGCCACCAGCCTGGACCCACTTCTGGTCTCAAAAGTTATATCCAAACCTGGGATACATGTGGCATTACTGCACTTTTGTAAAATTATGTGATTCCCTCCTTTTCTTTCTGCATTTAAAAGTTGATTTTTAATTATCCCAAACTGCTTTTCTTTTCCTTCTTTTCCCCCCCAATGTTTTAACTAGATCTTTTATCATGAAACGAATGCTCATTGTTGTTATGTGCTGTCAAGTTGGAACCAAGTCTCAGCTGACCATCTGGTGGGTGATGCCACACTTGAGCTCTTGGCTACTGACCTGAAGGTCTGTGGCTCGGTCCCACCCAGCACCTCTCATGGCTGAAGGCCTGGAGCTCTGCTCCCCAAAGATGAGATCAACCTTACAGACCCGGTGAGGCAGCTCGATGCTGCCCTACAGGAACCAACTCAACTCTGTACACCAGCAACAAGCAACGCAGGCGGGACAGAGCATGAATCACCACCAACACGCACAAGGTGAGCGCCCCGCTGACCCTGGCATCCGTGCTTCTTACCCCCGTATTCCAGACGTGGACCCTGGCCCTCAGAAGTGATGTCTAGGGGCACACAACAATCTCCTGGGGAGCAGGGATGCCACTCAAACAGTCTGAGTTCTTCGTCTTGTAAAGCCACCAGAGGGAGGAAGATGAAGAATCCCAGAATCCCAGGGGGAATGGGATTGCTCTGTAAGGACCCCACCTTCTCCTTGACCAAGAAAGGGAGCCAGAGAGGAAGAGAGGCTGGAAGGAGAGGAGAGAGACAGGTGTGGACACCATGGGCTGAGCCGGACCCTCCCAGGGCTTAGCCTGTACCCGGTAAGGGAGGTAAGCACGGGATCCCCATATTTCTCCTGAGGAGCGGCTGGTGGATTTGAACAACCAACCTTCTGGGTAGAAGTCCAGCAACCAGCCCACTAGGCCCCCAAGGCTCCTCCTTCCCTGTCTGGACTCTGACTTGAAGAGGCTGATTATGAAGGAGGGGGCTGCGGGGCTGGGAGAGAGACAGATGCCAGCTCGACCGAGACGCAGAATCTGCGATGTGGTGAGAACGTGAAGTTGTTCATTGCAGACTAGCGAGGGAGCGTGAGTCCGCCCCAGCTCGCTCGGCTTATGGGGACATCTGGCCCTGTCCGCACGTCACCACTGGGTGAAGGTCCTGGAGTCAGCAGCTGCCTCAGAGGACGACACAGACAGGAGAGGGGACGTGGCCAGTCAGCTGGGCAGGATGAGCGGCTGTGGTTGAAGGCCTGGCCCAGGAACCCGTACCCACCTGCCGTGCTGTCTCCAACCATGACATCCACCCCACGAGGTCACAGAGCACCATGCCATGCGGGGGCGGTTGGGCCTCTCAGTGACCCCACTGGACAGAGCAGATTCTGCCGCACAGGGTGTTTAAGGGTGTGAAGCTGGTCCTTCCCTCGCTGAGCGGCGGGTGGGTTTGGACCACCCAACCCTGGTTAGCGGCTGAGAGGCACTGAAGACCCCTTAACAGAGCAGTGTGGGGAGTATGTTTCTGCAAGCAGACCTCAGCCCTTCGTCACCCTTCAGGCCTGGAGCCGAACTCACACTGTGACTCAGCTCTCAGCCGGGCAGCTCTGGTTAGGTGCCGAGGAGTCGATTCTGACTCCCGGTGACCCTGAGGGCAACACACGGGGACCGTGGTCTGTCCTGTAATGACTCTAATGCCTGGTGACACTGGGGGCAACACATGGACACTATAGCTTGTCCTGCATCAACTCTGACTCCCTGTGACCCTGGGGGCAACACACGGGGACCGTGGTCTGTCCTGCAACGACTCTAATGCCTGGTGACACTGGGGGCAACACATGGACACTGTGGCCTGTTCTGCATCGACTCTGACACCCTGTGACCCTGGAGCAACACACGGGGACCGTGGCCTGTCCTGTGTCGACTCTGACTTTTGGTGACCACACGGGGACTGTGGCCCATCCTGCATTATCCTCAGGGTCTTGGCCATGCTCTAGCCTAGCGCTGCAGCCATGGTGTCAGTCCACCTCACTGAGGGGCTTCCTTGCTGACCCTTTGCTCGTTCAAACAACAGACTGGTATAGAAGGTGAACTGGGGAGGGGGAGAGAAGGGTGGGCAGGGAGGAAAATGTGCAACAATGAATGAATGGGGGAAAAATAAAATGAAAAGAATATGCTGTAAAAAATTATGTTGAATTAAAAAAATCATTAACAAAAAAAATTTTGAAAAAAAAAAACAACCCCCAAAAGAAGGTGAACAATAACCTCAAGGAGGTACAATCAACCAGGTGAGAGGAAAAAGGTAGCTCTGGCCCAGATACAAAGCTCAGAGGCTGGGCGGAGGAGGAAGGAAAGAGGCGAGGTGGGAAGATCTGTCACCAGTGGGGCTGACAATGGACACAGGAGGCTCTCAGCAGACACGCACATGCGCTCAGTAAACCTTCAGATCTCTTAGTCACAAAAGGACAAATACTGCATAGTGCCATTGTTGTAGAACGGGACTGACATCAGGGTCGCGGTGAGACAGAAAAACTGGATAAATCACGTACACTGCATTGAAACAGATGAGGGAGAGAGCAGCTCAAAAGCGACATGTGATTAGGTATTATTGTCACGACAGGAGTTCAGAACGAAGGTGGCACAGTGGAGTGGACTCGGCGGTGGTGGGGTGGATTGTATACCAGTGAAGGAATTTTTCTTCTACTTTTCAAAGAGAAGAGTGAACTGGGGGGAGGGGTGTGCAGGGAGAACAATGCAACAATGAGTGAATGGAAATCTAAAATCTCTCTAAACGTTCATTAAAATGAATAAAAAAGAAAACCCCTTCAGATCAAGGGGGAGAACGTGGAATAATTTCACTCAACTAAACACACAGACCATTCCCTGCATCCCAGAGTCAGCCCTTCCCATTTCTGAAAAGACACCTGGAGGGGGCCGGGCTCCGCGTGGACACCTGGGTCCTGGGCTGGAGCTGGCGCGCGTGGCCGGCCAGGACCCCGTGTCACCCACCTGCACTCGATGAACCAGTGGCGGATCTGGTCCTGCAGGTTCTCCTTGATGTCCTGGCCTTCCACCAGCAACAGCTCATCCTTGATGCTCACCAGGGCCTCCTGGAAGTCCTTCTCATGCTTGCTCTGCACGTCGTCCCGCCGGGAGCACTCCCTCTGGGCCTGCAGGACCACCGTGCTGATTTGGTCAAACTGGGGCGGTGGGTTCTGAAGACACGAGCCAAAGGAAGAGATGAGAAAACGCTGTGAGAGGCAGAAGCCACCTGAGTGGTCAGTACCACCGCCGACCTTTCTGTAAGCCCAACACGGACAAAGGGACCGAGAAGAACCGTCCCCGGGCTCTGGAGCCTGTGAAGAGGTACAGACCGCCACATCCTTCTCCTGCAGAGCAGCTGGTGGGCTCAAACAGCTGACCTTCTGATCAGCAGCCCAACACCCATCCCTCAGAGCCACCAGGGCTGAGGTAGTGAGGATGTCCCACAGTCAGTCAGAGACGGTGATCCAAAACCACCCAGTGGTGCTGCGGAAGAAATGTCCTGGCGATCTCCTCCTGTAAATGTCACCACCAAGGAAACCCCACGGAGCGGGTGCACTCTGTTAAGACACGGCCGCCACAAGTGGGAACTGACCAGATGAGAGGCTGTTTATTTAAAGCAGAGATTCAAGAAGGGATGGAGCAAAGGGCAAGGAGGACGGAAACCAGGGCAGGGAGGGGAACAGTCACCATGCAGGAACTGCAACCAGGGACGGAACATGTGCTCACGGCTGGAGGGAACACCAATTTACTCTGTAGATGTCACTCAGCTCACAATAAAAAAACCTTAACAACATAGCCCCCCATAAAGACCCACAAGTGCACGGAGAACAGGACTGTGATACAGCAGAGACATCTGAACACGACTGCTCACTGACGGAGGGGGCGTGAGTTCACACCTGCACCTTTCAGGCTGAATGGAACCGGGCCTTGGAGTAATGCACGCTCAGTGCTCAGGGCCCTTCCTCCCTTCCTCTGACTCACAGCGACCCTCGGGGCCAGGCAGCATGGGGGCCCAGCTATCCAAGGCTGGGGTTCCCATGGGAGGAAATGGCCTCTGCTTTCTCCTGATGGAAGCTGGAAGCTGCAACCTCTGACCCTGCAGTCAGCAGCTGGGCGTTGTGATCACGCACCACGGGGGCACCATCCACTTTCAACTAACTTTTGTCTTTTTTTTTTTTTAATTACAGTGTAGTAAGTAAAGCTTTCTAAACCAGCTTGGTTAGTGGGAGAACGAATACCATCAAGAAGGAAGGTATCGAAGTCAGGATGGGTGGACGTGCTGTGACTTCCTCAGTGTCAGTCAGGACCACTCAGCCTTTGATTGGTGAGGAGGAAGGACACTGTCCAGCGAACACCAGGCGTCCATGCCACGTCACACCCTGCTGTCAGGACATTCTACACCAGAACCAGCTGATGGATCAAGTCAGCACCTTCACCGCCCTGATGTCGCTGGGAACCTTGCAAAGGGAAAACTCAGGTCATTTGAAAGGTGGACCCCAGTTCTTTAGGTATTTAAAGTGGAGTCAGCAGAATTCGAGGAACACAGGACATCACCAGGGTACTACGTACGTCAGGTAACGGAGGAGAGTGTCATGGGGGGTGGGGTGGGGGGCGTAAAAGGAACTCGGAGGAGGACAAGAATGACAGGGTCGTGATCCTGGGAAACCTGCCTGAAGCCAGGAGGACCGCTGTCCTCTACAGATGAAGCGTCAGAGCCCTAGATGCTCAGAGGTCACCTCAGCTCACACGCCAAACAAAGGGGAGCCCAGCGGCCAGGAAGCCAGCTCCTAAGGGCTCATAAGGTCCAAAAAGCACGCATTTTCAGGGAGTCCGTGAGCTGCTCGGGAAGCACAGTCATTATTAAAACAAAACTGTCGTTGATCGCCTTCCAGTCGAGCACGACTCACAGCAACCCTATGAACAAAAGGCCTGAAGTCCCTCTACAACTATCAACATTTATCAAAGCTCATAGAGTTTCCAGAGGCAAGCTGTCCAGGAAAAAAAGTCAATAAATGATATTAAAAAGCAAGACGATCAATACTTGAAATGCATCACTTTCTAATTGTCACTCCATTTTACCTCTATGCTCTTCAGACCCTCTCCCAGCCACCCCGGCCTCGGCCTCGGGCCCGTCTCCTAGGGTTGCTATGAGCCATACGGCAGGCACCCAATAACCACCACCACATGCTCTTCAAGGTACTGTAGTTAACCGCTGTGTCTCTGCAGCTGCTGGGAACATCTACGCCAGGGAAATGGGCAAACCCTGTAAGACAGGAATGCTTATAGACAGCCCAGCCCATAGGAAGACTCATGGCTCACCCAAAGGCCAAGTCTCTCTGGTGGTCTGAAGCCACTGATGGCTCTGAGAAGGACAGATGCCGTGTGACTCATTTACAGGCGTGGAGACCCAATGCAAGGTCACCTTTGAGTCCCGTTCAAGTCAACTGCAGTGAATTTTGAGTTGGATTAAGACGGCTTGCTTTGCTTGTTCTTACTGCTGCCATCAAGTTAACCCTCACTCATCGGGCCCCACGTACATGAGAACGGAGCCGCCCGGCCCTGTCCCGTCCTCACAGCTGCCACTGCACTCACACCCGCAGCCAAGACACTGCCACCATCAGTCCAGCCCACAGAAGGCTTTCCTACTCCTTCCCAGCTTCTGCTTGAACATGCTTCTCCAGGAGCTGGCCCTTCCGGAGAACATGATCACGGCACAGGGGACAGCACTCTGGCAGCCTCCCTTCTGAGGACCATGTGGCTGCATTTCTTCCAGGGCAGACTTGCTCGGGCTTCTGGGAGTCCACAGTCCAGTCGACACTCCCAACACCCCAGTTTAAGGGGTTAAGTTCTTCTTCAGTCTTCCTTAGTCATTGTCTAGCCTTCACATTCTCATGAAAATCAAACACATCAGGGCCACTGGGTTGGATAGAATCAACTTAGAGCTGGCCCTCAGGTGGTTTTTAGAGGGTGTAAATCACACGGCAGCCTGCCTATGTGTCTCCTTTGGAGAGGCAGGTGGATTCGAACCTCATGCCTTTGGGTTGGCAGCTCAAGTCCTTCCCACTAGGTCACCAGAACTCACATTAGCTCTTTAAAGAGGCCTTTACTAATCTAGATTATTAAGGTGACAGAGAAGACAACACCTTGAGATTGTGCTGATGACATCAGTCTGATGCAAATATTGAGCCTTCTTGAATTTGCTATCTTTGTAGCTTTAAATGACGGGGGTGGAATACTTAGTCCAATCTGTTTGAGATTTTTTGATATTGCTACCAGTGTTATTTTTGTTCTCATTCCCAACTCCTCATTGTTCTTATCTAAAAAGACAACTTGATAGAGATTCTAGGGGTCTTTTGAGAGCGGTGAGGGGAGTTTTAGATTTCCACACGGCCAGCCCCACACTGCCAGCTGCCCTCTTGCTAATTCACTGCATTAGTGGGGCGCATTTGTCATGGTTAATGAAGCAGTTTGCGTTTGTCACCGCTGACGGAAGCCCACACCACATTTGGCTTCCCGGGTCTCTTTCTTTAGCTCCGGGGTCCCTTCCAGGATCCCCGGGGTGTCTGGCATCCTGTCTCCTGGGACCGTGGTTTGATTTTGGTGACCTTTCCAGCACTATGTGTGGCACAAACACAGAAATCCCCCAATAACTGAAAGAGTATGGGCAGCGTGAACCCGCCCAGACACTTGGGGTGCAAGGTCTGGGTATCTTTGGAAGTTCTCTGGAGCACAGTTACAGGACACTCAATGGCAAGTGGTGTGCTGGCCGGCATTCTGGGGTAACAGTGCACCTCTCTATAGACGAGGCCCCTTGAGCTCCCTTGGTTCAGGCACCCTGTGGACTGTCCCCCATCTGGGTCTTAATGCTTTCCTCGTGACTGGACTGGGGTTACGGATCTGGGAGGAGGGCCACCCAGTGAAATGACTTTCGTCACCATGCCCAGGTCATATCATCAGCATGACTCATCACCACTCATGTCGGTCTTGATTAGAGACGGCTCAAGCCATGCTGGTCAGCTTCCTACCCCAAGTCACTCTTCCCTCCGCCCCAAGCCCTTTGCACACCAACCTTTTGGAAGGAGGTCACTATGTGTGGTCACACGGAAGGAGATGGGTCACTGTCTGCGGCTGCTGGGATTCTAAGGGGCTGCGGTCACCATGGAAGACAGCATGGAGGGTCCTCGAAAAGCCAAGCATAGACCCAGCTTGCTGCTGCTGTTGTGGGCTGCCAAGTGGACACCGATGCGTTAGTGACCCTGCGGGACCCAGCAGAACTGCTCCCGGCGGTTTGCTGGGCTGAGGGAGCCCTGGTTTCTCTGTAGGAAAAGCACCGGGTCATGAACTAACAGGTGGACAATGTGAATCTACCATTTGGTCCAAGTGAAATGATGAGGCTTTGTGCTTCCTTAGAGACTGGTACCTCGGGCAACCCCCATCCCGGGCAGCCCCCTCCGCTGCAGGGCTGCGCTGCTGTCACCACCTCACGACAGAAACAGACTGCCAGGTCTCCTCCCCTGAGGTTTTAAACTGCTGGTGTTTCGGCGAACAGCCAACTGCTTAGCTGTGGTACCACCAGGGCTCTGTCAGACGCCGTCAAGTTGGCGCTCACCCAGTGTCCCCTGTACGATGGATGCAACACTGGTGGGTTTGGTGCTGGAGCCACCAGGCCAGCCCATCCCGGTGAGCCTCGGGGAAGAGGGGCGGCAGGAGCACAAGCCGGTGTCCTGGTGTGATGTGCCTGGTTGTGACGCACACGGTCTGTGCCTTCCCACAGGCAACAAAACACAGACATTGCCCAGGGCTTCCCTGCGTTCAGCCAGGATCCACCTGACACCAGCAACCACATCCCTGGTGCCACAGCTGCTGCTGCTTCTTTATTTATTTATTTTTTTTGTTGTTGTTGTTCACAAGGTTTCTTTAAATGATACTCAACTCCATACACAACAGGATTTAAATTTTACATGTACCCAGGATCACATTATGGTCTCAATATTGATTTTCTTGTATGAGGTGGCTGGTATTCTGTTACAGTGGTTTAGTATGATCAATTAAGCTATGTCTAAGAGC